GTGTGTGTGTGTGTGTGTGTGTGTGTGTGTGTGTGTGTGTGAGTGTGTGTATGTATGTAAAAATAAAAATAAGATATTTTTACTTTTAATTTTGACCAAGAAAAATGCTGTTATCGATACATAAAGTTTGTAATTACAGATGAATATTGTTTAATTATATTTTACAAGGGCCTGCCATACCGTCCTGTAAACATGCGTTTTCCACATTCTACAAATGTTTGCATTTTGACCCAAGCGAGGCGCGGTAGTGCGGGTCGGCGGACGCTGGAGGCTGGTTCTGCTGCTCATGGTGTTAGCGGGAGATTAGCTTCATGCTGTCTGCGGTCGCCGGTTAGTGATGATGGCTCTCCCATGAGGTGGGGGAGCGGGCTGTGTTTTCTGATTTAAAGCCAAGTGAAGTGTCGCGGACATGGCCGGGGTTTTTGACATCGATTTGGATCAACCGGATGAAAATGTCTCTGACGACGAACTTGAGGACGGGGTGAGTTTACGTTATCTGCTAATGCTCAGCGCCGTTAGCCTGCTAGCTTAGCAGTTAGCAGCCTTGAGGCCTACGTTGCTAACGTCGATTATAAAGTGTCCATTATCGGACACGTTAACAGCCACTCATTCCTTAAACTCTTATTAGGTCTCATACGCGTTTTATTGTATTTATTTATCAATTTTAATTTTGACTAACATTTAAACAAACAGTTTCACGTTGTTTTCTGTATGTAAAATGGTCACAAAATTAGTTTCCTGACCCGACACTCACTGGAAAAGCTGTCTGAATCATCAAACGGCGCTGAACACCTTTGCTCAAGTTAAATATAGTGAAACTCTAAACAATACGTCAACAAACTGATTGTGGAGATTGTATTTTAAGTCAGGTGGCAAGCGTAACAAATCGGAAATCAAACAGAAATAAGTTGTCCATCACTGAATCGTGAATTTCTCACGGCTAGCTGTCCGATAATGGATGTGTAAACAGTCCAAGACTGACTCTGCATTCGTCACCGGTGCTGTCATTGCTGTGTAACAATATCACATGCAGACACACTGTTTGAAAGCTATGACATCTTTAGAGAGACGTCTAGTTTAAGAGGTATTCATTTGATTTCACTGTGGCCAACCAAAAGTGAAGTATGCAGAAATCCTGTTAGCCAGACTTGCTCAAATCTCTGCAACGTTAGCTTGTTTCCCCACTTCTTCTCTGTGCAACATTTAGACATGTTAGTCACTTCTGCTTTTCTTATTGCTACTTTTTACCTACTCCGAGTTGAATAAGGTCAATAAAATACGAAACGTCTTTAACTAGCTTGAAAGTTAGCTAGTCCATGTATGTTAACAGAGCTACTGTCAAGAAAAAAGTAACACTGCCTTTGATTTATTACATCCATCACAGGCAGAACAGCATATTTTTGGTTAATGCACGTGTTTTAATGCTGTCCCCCTTGTTTCCAGACCCAGCTCGGTGAATACATGGACCAGTGCAGCAGCTTTGAATTGTAAGTGCATGAATCTGATTCACTGCAGTCTGAGCAGGAAGAGTTGGCTTTAGATGACTGCCAATTAGTTTTAAAATGTGCAATTTAATGCTGGGGGGGGTTGTGAAAGTGACACGAGCTCTTTACTGACCGCTTAGTGTGGTGTTCACCACATAAAAATGAAATGATCTCTACCAATCGTCAATTCAATTCAGGTTATTTAAATGCACCAAATCACAACAGAAGTTGTCTCAGGGCACTGAACAACATACAGAAGCCAATTGGTAAAAGTTCTCTATCTAAGGAAGGAAGCCAGCAGACGTGATGAATCTTCACTTCATCGCAGTCTCCCCTCTGGGTGTGTTTTAAAGATGCATCAAAGAGCCAATTGTTTTTTTTAATCTTGTCAGAGCTGTGGAGCAGGTCCAAACAGATATCTGAGCCAGCTAGAACATAGGCAAAAGCACACACAGCCATGCTTGGAACCAGTTAGCACTGGGGCGGCTGTGGCTGAGTGGTTAGAGCAATCGTCCTCCAATGCAAAGGTTGAGGGTTTAAATCCACCCGCAGTCACATGCCGAAGTGTCCTTGGACAAGACACTGAACCCCTCGTTGCCTCCGATGTGTGTCATATCGGTGTATGAATGTGATAAAGCTCTGATTAGTCTCTTTAGAATGATTTGTTCAATTATCTTTGTAGAGATCTAGTATAGAGCTGTATGAATGGGTAAATGAGGCACAGATTGTTGTGTGAAGCACTTTGAGTGTCTTGATCAGATAGAAAGGAGCTATATAAGTACAGTCCATTTACCAACCTGAACATGCACCCATAACCACCTTGGTGGCATTGACTAGTTATATTGAGGGGCTAGAATTCTGATAATTATGAACAAAAATGTGTTAACATTAATAACAGGGTTGATTTATTTGCAAAGCCAAACGTCAGCACTGTGAGAGTGGTAGGAGAGGAATTAGTTTATCCAAGTTTTTAGTTTCATGTTTGCTCTGTGCAGTATTGTGACCTAAACTTTGAAAGGCAAATTCAGATTCTTATTGCCATAGAGGCACTCATAATTTAAACATATTTTAACAGTAATTGATTCTATAGTTGGTATAAAAAGTTGTCTAGTTTTCTGTTTCCTGGTTTTACCTAAACGATTAGTTTCAACACCTATTTGGATCTTTTTTTTTTTTGTAAAAAAAAAAAAAGATCCAAATAAATGAGACAAAACTGCTTAAATATGTTTGATCTGCAGGTGAAGCTTCTGTGTATTTTTATTTATCTATATATCAATATTTTTAACTATCCATCTGTAGTTTTGTTTACAACAATGCTGGGTGTTTGTTAGCTTGATATAAATGTTTCTATTAAAATAGGGTGAGGATGTTTAGTGTTTTGTGTTGCAGCTTCTCTTCTAATAACAGCAATTATGCTGAAGATACAGATAATAAATCTGTATTTATTATTATTTTATTTCATATTTTGAAGTTGATTATTGTGGTGCTGTTACACACTTACTATACTCTTATAAATGTCAAGTTCACTGTGATGCTGTTGGTCAATTTTAGAAGCATATTTGAATGAAACTGTGAGGAACATAAATACAAAAGTTCATAAACTGCCTGACATAATGCCATCACTTTTAACTGACTAGTTAAAACATTGTTTGCCATTGCATGTTTGAAAAAAGTATTTACCATCATGAATATTTACACATCTCTCACTTCAAGACTTCACTGTTGTGTTAGCCTCGCATGCTTGTAAATCTGTATATCCTGCAAATACAGTGCTTGTACTAGTGAGTCATTGTGTATTTATTTATGTATCTTTTAATTTTATTATTGTTTTTTCCAGTAACATGGATGACTGTGAGAAGTTTGAAATTTCAGAAAATAGCGTCAACAAGGGAACAGAGCAGATCGGGCCTGAATGCTTTGAGCTGCTGAAAGTTTTGGGGAAAGGTGGTTATGGAAAGGTGAGAGCTCCCAATCCCAAACTTTGACTTAAACTTCTTCCACAATTCCAGTTTTTCTTGTCGTCTTTTATTTGTGTGTGGGGAATTAGAAACACACGATGAAGAGCTTTTGTAAAGTCCAGCTGAAAACAGCATCACTGTTGGTTTGGATCATTTACAGAGACTTTCTTACAATGTGGCGCATCATTTCTTGGAAGGGTTTGGTTTTATAACCTGATGATTTATATTTTAAAAGTATCTGAAGTGGTTTTGTCTTAAAATTGGGAGTTTGTCAAAATTTTAGAAAGCTATAAAATACTTTCAGTGAGGAGACGTCACAGCAGCATTTCGTTCAATAGATGAATTAAATGCATCTAAATAAACATACATTAGCAAAGAGTTTGATGAATACTTGAGTAATCATCCTTAACAGCAGCATCACAACTTGGTACAACAAAACCCTGTTTATTCAATTTAGTAGTTTAAAAGTTAAAGATGTGACAAAGTGAACTTTTTCAAACAATTGACATTAAAACGGTCACTGCACAGTTTTCTTAAAACCTTGTTTGATACATATTTCTTACAAGATTGTAAAAAAAGTAAATTACTGTACTAATATTTTTGGATTTTCTGAACGATCCTTTATTTATTTATTTATTTAAACATGTGTAAGAGTTGCAGTCAGGGCATCAAACCCCATAACAACCAACATCATTTGTTGTTTCGTTAGACTTATTTTGAACATCTGTTGACTTTTAGATCCTCGTCACGTTACCTGAAGTCATTACATCAGTAAAAATGTTATTTACTGCAGGGAAGTGCTAAAAGTATTTGATACTGTACAATTCTAGTTTGTGGTGCCCCAAGTCATGATGACTTATAAAATGTTTTGAATTATTGTGTTGAAGCTCATTCTGACAGCTGCTTCCTGTGATGTCACTTTGTACAGGTCTTTCAGGTTCGGAAAGTGCTGGGTGCTGGCGCTGGGAAGATTTTTGCTATGAAAGTTTTGAAGAAGGTTTGTGAAGCTGCTTGCTTGGGTTTCTGCTGAGTTAAGAGTTAGGATCTTTGCTGTCTAGACCATGTACCAGTACCACTCTACATGTACCAGTACCACTCTACATGTACCAGTACCACTCTACATGTACCAGTACCACTCTACATGTACCAGTACCACTCTACATGTACCAGTACCACTCTACATGTACCAGTACCACTCTACAT